AGGAGAGGCTAGCAGCGAAGAACAACTTGTCCAAGGTTTGGTCGACGAGAATGAAAGATCATGCAAAATTTGCCACAGTAGAGAAGTACGGATCTTATTTATGCCGTGCAGACATTTATTGGCGTGTGAGGAGTGTGCGAAAAATATGAAAATATGCGGCGTATGTCGTAAGCCTGTTGAACGTACTGTACAAGCGCGGATTCTGTATAATTATGGGCAATTCTAAAATTGCCCATAGACGTATATAACAGACTGAGCATTTCCATTGGAGAACTTCTGACAAGATCTGAAGGACAAAAGATATGTTTGCTGAGATTGTTTCTCTATTTTTTCTTCTTCCCAAAAGGTTAGAAAAGGAAAGCGTCTCAGCAAGCATATCTTCTGTCCTTCAAATCTTGCTAAAAGCTCTACAATGGCAATGCTAGTCTATTATATACGTCTATTATATACATCTCGTTTCGATCCGTATTGAATCTTCTTTAGTGTAAAATTAAGAAGAGCAATATATGTTAATACAAATATTTCTGTGTCGAATATTTGTGGGCTGGCTTTATTAGCCTTTCTATTATAAATTAATGACGAAATTTAGTTTAATCAACCTTTTGTTTTCCTAATTTTTATTGTAATCTATCAGACATGCTTCGTTTTAGTTTATACATATATTAATGTACCGCAAATTATTAAACGCATACTGATATTTTAAATATATCTATATGTTGCTTCCTTGCATCGATTTATATATAATATTTAATCTTGGCTGAACATATGGAAAGGAACAAGTAAGAGGTATAAATAAAACACATCCTAACTAATTCATAATTTTTCCCTATCTACAGATATTCTTTTTATAACACGATGCCTTATTTTTATTTCTTTTGTTCAAGAAAAATAATGTCAAAAATAATTTTTTAAAGGAACCTAAATATAAATTTTATATTACAAAAATTCATACTTTATACTAATTGTCAGAATATTATTTTGTTTCTTGTTTTTCTTGTGTTTCTAAAATATTTACTACTCTAATTGTAAGCAGTATTAATCTACGTAACAAAATTTCCAAAATTTAAAATACTTTAAAATTGTATTCAAAAGTTACTTCTACAAAACGCGGCAGTTTGTCAACATAATTTGAACGATGACATTTTGATATAGCTGCATGCGTGTGCGAGTATTTTCTCAAGCACAGTCGCACAGTACATCAATAAACAAATGATACTAAGATTAAATATTTTTCGTAATCAGTTTTAGCCCATCTATTTTAAGGCAACAAATCCACTTGCAAGTTTTGAGACGGCGTGACGGATGAATATTTTTATAGCATAATTTATTGTAATTCGACATGAGATACAATTGTACGCCGCCGCATCGAGCCGCCGGGTCGGCGGCGCGGAGCGGTGAAACGTGATTGGCCAGATCCGGGGGCTCGACTCACGAGCCAATCGCGTTCGAGGTCTCTCACTACTGTGCGGCGGCTCGGGTGGCTGGCGGTGGCAGCGCCGGCAGCGGCGCGCGCAAGCGGCGCAAATAATATGCGACACGTTCAACGGTCGGATCGCGCGAGACGTTGTCGCTCGTGTAATTCTTTTCTCGCGAACGAAAAGAAATCCAGTTACGGAGTGTTGCAAAATGAACGTACGCCGAATATTCCGTTCCTTCTTGTGTCGAGTGAAATGAGTGGGATGCTGTCGCTGGACGAAATGAATGCCGAACCGAATGCCGTGCTACGGACTCCGTACGTGTGTCTCCCGTCTCCTTCCCGGCTGTGATTTGATGGATCTCCTGCAGTGCTCCCGTCGATCGGTGAGTGAATTTTATATGAGAAATTAAGTGTTTCGAAGCACGATGTATCCGAATTTTAATAGAATTATTGTTCCGCGTGTCACAGTGAAACGATAACCTCGGAATTCACGTTTCCGGTCTTCATTTCGATTTCTTCGAATCGGAGTGAATCGCGCAGGAAGACGCTTTAATGAATATAGCTTGGATCTCTCGTTAAGTGCGGGAATTAATAATTAATTTAGTGATTTAAGAGAACAACCGCGCGTTTGACGTTTCGCACTTTGCTTGTCGCGATCGTAAACGATCGCGAACAAGGGAGAAAGAAGGGAGCGAGCTTGCTTTCAAAATGCGTATGCATATCGAGAGTGCGAATAGCTGAAGTGCATCCACGAATATAATTCTGTTTTTCGTTCAAAAACAGACACATAATTCGTTACGTTTACAAATGCTTCAAATTTATTTGTATGTGCTTTTTTATTCCTTCCATCGTTCTTGCAGCGCGGTGATTGCGCATACCATAAATTCTATAAAAGACGATAAACCGTTGTCAAGATACTTAAAAATTTATAAAACATTCTCTGTTGCTTGTTCCCCAAATATTATTCGTTTTGCTTACAAAATTTTCCGTAAAAGCCTATTGTGTCGTATTCGGATTTTTAAATTGATATAGGATACATATCTTTTATTTGAAATAACCCACATTGTGCTGTCTGGGAAGTGTGAAAGTGAAAGAAGAGAAAAAGTGAGAGAGGGAGAGAGGGCTATTAGATATTTAACACATAATATAAATATATAAAATAAGTTAATCTTTATCGATACATGTAAGGTATAAATATATAATCTTCAACTAATTACAATCGAGAATATTTATATCTTACTTGTATCGATAAATATTAACTTATATATTTAAATATTTATTATTTTATATATTTATATTATAGGTATGTTAAATATCTAATATTATAGCCCTCTCACTTTTTTTTCTCTTTCCGACACTGCCGACATCTGCAAATGTAGTATATTTACATACAATACATTTGCAGATTTAGCACGGACGTGCCTCAAAATAATGTTTTATCGGCAGTATCGGAAAATGAACGTGGCTACGTAGTACCAATTTCGAAAATAGATGTACTGACAGTCTCGCGAAAAAGGCCGGGATGGCTTGTCTCAGACTCCTCTCTGCTGAAGTATAGAGAGAGAGAGAGAGAGAGAGAGAGTTTAGCTGCGCCTGCGCGCAGGTTATTAGGTTACGTTGCATCTGACGCCGTAACAGAGGGATTAAACTTTCTGCGACCGTCAGCTTGGGAAAATTCGACAGCTATGTGGTACGAGATAATTCCGCCGATGCTGATAATAGGCTTGATACCAATAGTTCCTCTACTGGGAAACTACTACGCGAATCTATATTTCCTCGGAAACGTAAGTACGCAATTTCGCGTAACATAACCTCCCGATCGTAAACTTGCAACAATTACGGGCGTGTTGATAACTAAACGAGTTAAAGATACTCTTTATTTCTGAGAAATCCCTTTTTTGTTTAAAAAGAATTGCAACAATATATATAATTTTACGGGAGAGTCCAATAAAACCGGATATAAATAATACCCAGAGCTTGGAACTTGAAGTTTATTTGTAAATGCGTTAATAATAATTTCTACGAGCTAAAGACACTCCTCGCTTTCAGAGAAACCAAAACAAAAAAATTTAATCTCATTATGAGATGTATTTAATTAACTTGATGACAGCTTAATTCATGATATCAAGAACTTTATTGAATAGATTTATTTTTATTGAATTGAAAATTGTTGCACTTATTCATCACGTACTTCGACGCAATTATGGAATTCGCTGAAATTCCAAAATTTTGTTGTTGCGCTTACTTCACGAGAATAGTTTGCTATGTTTTAGACTGATACTCTTTAGACGAGGGCTAAATTCGTGAGAAACGAATTTTGGAAAGAAACATGCGATATAAATTAGTTTGCACGGAATTGGGAATTATTTCTTTGACTTCTTTCCAGCCGATGCGTAGAGACCTGAGAGATGTATGGGATCGCAATATGTTTACCAGAGATTGTCGCGTAGGTGACTCCCCATGGAATCACAAGGTAATTTATTAATAAATATATTTGTAAAACACAGTGTTTTATGAATTTGAATAAGTACGAGTAAGTGACTTTTATTTATTTATGTCTAATCGCTCTGTTTCTTAGGGACTAGAGAATATTCCTGATGATTAAGGGTACAAATACAATATAAATGGATATAACTGTAGTAATATGGTGTATCAGATGAAATAGACAAGTTATCGTCTAATTATAATTTACATACTATACAACAAAGTGTATATATAGATATAATATATAAATACATTATACGACATTGAATATACCTTACCTATCATTTCTAGCCATCTAAGTGCGATAATTAAACATGATTATGAAATCTAAAGTTGATAGACTAATTCGTTGTCATTAATAAAAGATAAATAAAATAGAATTGTGTATCTATACATTGTTAAATTTTGTTATACATGTGAAGTAGCTGTAATTCAACATCCATGAATTTAATTTAATATTTACAAATTTAATGCTTTTTTTGTTAATTAACAGCTAAATTCTAACATTGGAAAAACGCAAATTCAGATAATCCATGGATGAAATTTAGCCTGACAAACAGGAGCGTCAGATGTAGGCATCCGCGTCTGAATAATTTGACGCGAATCGTAATAATTAATTCCAGCAGCAAAGCAAACTCGCTAAATTAATGAATTGTAAAATTACACCCGGTAAGGGGATGTAGGTCGGATTAGTTGCGCTCACACGGATGTCTTACGGTTGGAGAAGCCGGCATCAGCGGGGTAACATTATCTTCATCCCGGAGTCTCGAGCGCTCCTTAGCTAAGCGTTTCACGAATACGACATACACGAGCGCGGTATTGATAAGATAAGGGCATAAATACCAAGTGGGGAAACTCCGTTCCCACTCCGAAGTCTTAGTGCGATATTTTCGGAAAATCAATAGTTAGCGGCACTCTCGCGGTAATTTAACTTGGTTACTTTATCAAGTTAACGTATGTGCCGTACGAGCTTTAGATAAATAATGGGGCATGCCGCGCTCCCACCGTATTTAGGACGTGTACCCGTGTGTCAAACACTTGACGGGTTTCGGAGAGATGTTTGAGAGATGCTGACGCGTAATT